ACACACATTTATTATCTGCTGCATGCAAGGATAAAAATCTACCCATCATTGGACACTTATTAAGACACAAATCTATCAACTAACAAGCATGTTTTTAAGCTCCTGCTTTACCAACAGGCACTATGTGAGGCCCTGGGGATACCAAGATGAAATCCAGAATGATCCCTGCCCTCAAGTCACATAAATCCTTTTAGAGATACAGACACATAAATATAAAGACAAGGCAAAGCAATTCAAAGGAGGGGTGGGATGAACCTAGCACAGTGCTCTTCATAAAACAGCCACTTAATAAATTTATTTGTTGGATTCAATTGAATAGAAACAAATCCCCAGTGGATTAAGACAATGGAATAGCCTTCCCCCACCCCTACCTCTGCCAAAAAAAAAAAGAGGGCCCTCACCTCCCTTTGGCCGCCTGCCAGACACTGTGGAGTGGGAGGAAGGATCTGGGTCAGGGGTAGCATCTCAGAGAAAATGGAAGAGAAAAGAGAAAAATTAAGGAATGAACATTTTCAGGGGAACGATCACAGCAATTGGTTTTGGAATGAAGGTATAATTTCATTAATATGAGAAAGATTAAGTGAGAAAACTCCCTCTACCCAGGGTGCCTTAGAGAGTTACCTAGCAAACCGAGGGTTTGAAGTGACTTGCCCAGGGTCACATGGTCAGCATGCGTCAGAGGAAGGACTTCAACCCAGGTCTTCCTGACTTTGAGAACAGTACCCTGTCCCTTTCTTCAGTAGTAGCATTTGAACTTGAAAATCACCCTCAATCTTAAACAAATATGCAAATATATCAGCCACTTAATGTGACCTTTATATACAGGGGAGTTTGAGAAGGTTGAGGATTTGCCAAATGCCGGGGCGAGGAGGCCATCATTCTTAGAGGGAATTTTCCCATTCATCGCCACTCCTTGGGCTAAGAGATGGGTGGAGATTGGACAGAGTGGGGGGAGCAGGAAAGGGGCCAACAGAGAAGGGGAAGAAGAAATTAGCTCTGCTAATTTATTAGCTATTTGACCTCACAGTTTCTTCATCAGTCAAATGGAAGGGGTAGTGGCATCACTCATCTCCAAGGATTCCTTCAGCTCCAATCCTATCTATGTTCCTATGTCACCCTCAAGAAAAGTGTAGAATTATAAATCTCAAAGAGGCCAACTGGCCCAACCCTAACCCGGAAGCACCAATCCCCTCTATGACATAGAATAACAAAATGTTTATATTATAAAATAATATAGAATTATACAAAAGACTTAGAAGCATCTTAAAATGATCTAGTTCCACCACCTTATTTTACTGATGATGAAACCAAGAAGAGAAAAGAAGACACTTGCCACAGGTCATATATCAAGTTAGCAATCAGGAAATCAAACCCAGTTCTCTTGACCCCTAATACACTGCACTTTCCATGAACATATCCAATCTCTGTTTGAACATTTCCTGTGACAGGAAACACTCTACCTCATAAGACCATGCCATTTTCAAACATTCAGATTGTTGGTGCAGTAGATAGAGCACTGGACCTGGAATCAGGAAGACCTGAGTTCAAATCCAGTCTCAGAAACTTACTATCTGTGTGACTCTGGACAAGTCACTTCCCCTCTTTGCCTCAGTGTTCTCATCTGTAAAATGAGCTAGAGAAGGAAATGGCAAACCACTGCAATATCTTTGCCAAGAAAACCCCAAATGGGGCCACAAAAAGTCAGACACAACTGAAAAATGACTAAACAACAATAAAAAAAATCTTCCTTGTAGGATAAGCTGAAATCTGCCTTCCCCTAAAATTTCTATTTATATCTAATAACATTTATCTTTGTATATTCCCTAATTCTAAATTCAACCAATATTTATTAAGTGCCTCCCATGAGCAAGGTAAAGCGTTATAGGACAGGAGTGCAAATCAGTAAACAAGCATTTATTTATTAATCTATCCATCCTCTGTCTCTAATCCCAGGCCTGCAATGGACTCCAGATGTGGAAGAATCAGGTCATTTCTCTTGGAATTACTTTATTAGTTTGATTGTTATTTTGCTTGTTTTGGTTTTTTTTTTAGGAAATAATAATAATAACTCACAGTTATGCAGTGCTTTAAGGTTTGTAAAATGTTTTACATACACTATGTCATTTGATCTTCACAGCAATCCTGGGAGGTAGGAACCATTATTGTTCCCATTTTACAGATGAGGGAACTGAGGACATGAACCCATAACTAGTAAATGTTGGGGCTAGAAGTTGAACCCAGGTCTCCTGAGTCCCAGTTTTTAATTTGTTATACTCTACTATGATCCACCTTTAAAAGACGAAAACAAAAAAAAACACTACCATTTTATGAGCACTACAAGCTCTCCTCAAGCACTTAAGGACAAATTCTACGCAAACTTCAGTCAGTCAGGGAGGACTCAACTCCAGTCCTGGGTTTGCTCTCCAGCCCTCAACAATTTCATTTCACTCTTTAGGGATCATTCTCTCACTGGCACATGGATGGTGTTCTTGCTTCATCTCTTGATGCCAAAATTAGCTCCTACTCCATCTCAGCACTATTGGTGTAAGCTCACCCTGGAGTCTTGGCGGGGGCTAAAAGGGAGGGCATCTTGGCAAGGCTGACCTTCCCCTCCAGAATCAAGGAAAAGAGTCTTGGAAATGTACACTGAGCTGGTAGATTTGTTCAGGGACCAGGGGACTTTGTTTAACACCGGAAAAGCCCTGCTCCCAGCCAAAAAGAAGGCAAAGGAGAGCCAAGGTGAAAGAACCCCTGGAAAGCTGGCCTGACCGTCAGCCTCTGTACACAGAGTCACAAAATCCCAGTAGAATGTAATCCCTTGGAGGACAAGGACTGTTTAGTGGTTAGCACAGTATCTGACACACAGTAGGCTCTTAATAACACTTGTTGAACTGAATTTGTATCATAGAATTAGGGATGGAAGGGAACTTAGGCCATCTAGTCTAACCCATATGGGAACAGGGATTCCCTCTACAGAATTTCCAACATGAGGTCATTCAGCTTCCACTTGGAGACATCTGATGAGGAGGAACTTGCTACATCTCATAGAAGTCCATTCCACTTAGGGGCCTTTGTAAATCTTCCCTTTGTCCCTTCCTGGGCTGGAGAGAAGACCATTAGACTGTTTGTAGAACCAAATTCTAAAGAAGATCATTACTGTGCCTGAACAACGATGCTTTGGGGATCTGGGTCCTAAGGCTGCTATGTAGAGTTTAGACCATTCTGGTGAGGAGAGGCTATGGAGCACTCAGCCAGTAATGGTGAGAATAACAGGTCCAGGCCTTCCCTTGAACTTGGGAGACTTGGTAATCCAATATGAAAGCTGGAATCAGAAGACCAGGGTTCAATGTCTACCTGGTTGATCTCATGTAAAAGCCACCTTGAGCCTCAATCTTCTTCTCTGGAAAACAAGTCTAATAATCCTTGTACTACCTACCTCACAGGCCTGTGGTAAGAATGAAATCTATCAATCTACTGAGTATTTATTTAGCACTTCGCTAGACCCGGGGGGAACAAAGTCAGAAACGAAAAAAATCCCTGACCAAAGTGAAAAGCACTTTGTAACTGCCCTCTCCCAGTTTTCGATCTATGATCCTATGAAATGCTCTCTACTTGTGGGTTACGATTCTAGTTTGTTTGCTTTTTTAAGGAGATCATTCAGATTTAAACTCAAGCAAAGGCATCAGAAAAATCAACCTCCCTCCAATGCTTCAATCCCCTCAAAGTGAAGGCAATTCAATTAGAAGATTCAAATATTCTAAGCTTTCAAAACCATTTGTGATAAAGCCATAGGCTAAGTAGCAATGCTCCCCTCCCCCCATGGAAGGGCCAGATGATATGTGAAAGTGGAAGGGGGAGGGGTAAAAGGAGACCAATGGTCCAGACCCAGCTTTTTAAGAAGCCATCACTAAAGTACCACACCATATGCAATAAGGATCACAAAAATGATAATACCATTCAATCCGATTCCGTTGCTAGGACTTTAGCCCCAGGACAGCATAAAAAGGAAAAAAAAATAACCTAGCTACCCAAAAATATTCACAACTACTCTGTATGTAACAGTGAACGATGGGAAACAGCCTCTATTCCAACAATTGGAGAATGACCGGAAAAATTGTAGTGTATTAAGGTAATGGAATGTTATGGTGCCATAAAAACAGCCATTAGGAAGCACATAAGGAAATACGGAAAGAGCTCTATGAGGTGGTGCAGAGGGAAAATCAACTAACCCAGGACTGTATGACTACACATTGACTATAGCTGTGTGGAAAGGAGGAAAGAAACAAGGAGAGGAGAGAAGACAGGTGTGGAGGAAGAGAGAGAGAGAAGGATGAGCTGAGAATTTTACAAGGCTAAAAAGAGACAGGGAGCAAAAGCTGACACAAAAGTATTTTCTTTGCTTGTTGGCAGCACAGTGGATAGAGCACTGGGCCTGGAATCAGAAAGACCTAAGTTCAAATACAGCCTCAGATACTTCTTAGCTGTGTGACCCTGGACAAGACACTTTAGCTCTGTCTGCCTATAAAATGAGGAAAATAATTGCACCTACCTGGTAGGGCTGTTGTGAGGATCAAAGGAGAGAATATTTGTAAAAAGCATTTAACTTAGAGCCTGGCACACAGTAGGCCCTATATAAATGCTTATTCCCTGCCTCTCCCTATTCTTTGCTTATTAGCTCTTTTGGTTCTATCTTAGCACTGTTCAAGGCACATGGCAAACATTTAGTAAATACTTGTTGACTTAACTTGTCTTGTTAAAACCTAAGTTAACCATTTTGACCTTTGTTTTCTGTATTTTAACTGATGTTCTTGATGATTATTACATTTACTAAAAAAAAAAAAAGATAATTTTGTGCATCAATAACCTTGTTCTCTAACAAATAGAAAAGGGAGCTCTGGTTAGTGACACAACAGATAGAGTGCAGGACTTGGAGTCAGGAGGACCTGAGTCCTCTGCCTCAGTCTTCTCATCTGTAAAATGGGTAAAATAACAACACTTACCTCCCAGGCTTGTTGTTACAGTCACTCCCTCTGTCCGTGCTTCCCCCACTCTTCAGCAGACCATTTCATGACTTGCTACAGGCTGAGAAAGCCTTCATCACCCGGTGGCCAATCTGGGAATGAACCTCTCTATGCTTAACAAAGATGGTCCTCAGATGACATCACTTGGCCCACATGGGAAGACTTTCCTTCCGGGTAAGACCCACCAGAACCTCCCCTCTGCTGATGTATATAGCATTGTAGAAGCCACACTCACCTAAACACCACAGTGACTCATCAGAGGAAAACTTTTCATGGAGAGCAAAGGGAAATCACTGCTAGAAAATCACCAATTCTACCCTCTAGTAGAGAAAGCCAGAAGCACCCAGAATGGTTTGAGATGGTACCAGCATTGTGTCCCTGAGCCAAGAATAAAAGCCACAAACTACAGCACTGGAAGCCCAGATTCTAACTCAACTTGCTATGTGCCCTTGGATAAGTTAACTAACTTCTCTGAACTATGACTTTTTCCATCAATAGAGAGCAAACAGTGGCAAACAGGTGCAGAGATTTAGAGCTGGGAGGGGCCTTAGATGCTACCTAGTAAATAACCCAGTCTCAGAGCAGGGACTGTCTTTTGCGTTTCTTTGTATTCCCAGCACTTGGCATGGTGCCTGGCATATGGTAGGTGCTTAATAAATGCTTATTAACTGACTGACTGATAGGCTTAGTCACAACAAGGAGGTACTGGGTAACAATTACTTAACCCAGCCAATTGCACTCTTGCCCATCAGATACCAAACATAGCAGTAAGGTCTTTCTATGAAAAGCACCCAACTAGTGGACTCAAAAGTAACAGATGTCCATTTGCATACTATTTCTCACTTTGTTGTTCATTTATGGCCAACATGGCTCTGTTAGGAACACTATTCAGGTCTCCAGCCCACTCCCCACCTGCCCCCCAAGCAAGCAAGCACCCAACACTGGCCTGTATGTGCCTCCTCTGCTGCCAAGGCAGTTGGGGCCCTCACCCCTTAAGACAGCCCTTCTCTCCTCCTCCTCCCCTGCCCGACCTGCCATTTCCCCTGGTTCCACCCAGAGCTGGCAGGAAGGGAGCCAAACATTTGAGGTTAAAAGGTGAACCCTTTGTAAACAGTGGCTGAAAATCAAGAGACAGGAAGACCCCCACCCTTAAGTAGGGTGATTTGTAAAGGCACCATGTGCTCAGCTGAGGGGTATATCACCTCAATGTTCTCCAAGGTCCTTTCCAGATCTAAATTGGAAACCCTATGAACCATAAGAACAGCACCCATATCTCAGGTCTAGACTGAAAAATCTTCCTTCTTGGAGTTATATAACAGGAAATATCAAGTATTCCTCTGTCTTTGTCATCTTCTCTGCTGTGCCTGGGTCAGCCAATCACTAAGCATTTATTCAGCACCTGTTAAGTGACAGGTACTGTGCTCAGCACTGGGTCTATGGAGACACAAAAGAACAGCCCCTGCCCTCAGGGAGTTTGCATCCTGCAGGAGAAAACAACACGTGCATATATAAGCACATAAGTGGAGTTGATCTGAACCCCCCCCTCCCCTGCCCCCCAATCAATTAAATCCTCCCAGTCGCCTTGTGGGCAGCTAGATGATGCAATGTATAGAGCATTGCACCTGGAGTCAGGAAAACCTGAGTTCCAATCTGGCCTCAGACTAGCTGGGTGACCCTGGGCAAGCCACTTAATCCTCTTTGGCTCAGTTTCCTCATCTGTCAAATGAGCTGGAGAAGAAAATGGCAAACTATTCCAAAATATTTGCCAAGAAAACCCCAAATGGGGTCATGAAGAGTTAGATACAACTGAAAATGACTGAAGAACAACAATCCACTTGAAATGACTGAAAGTAAGGGGCAGAAAACAAGGTCAAGGTCTGAAAAGGGTGCACCTTCACATTTCATTGTCTCTGTTACCTGTCCCTCACCTCCGGTCATTTCAAGTAGATTGGGAAGACTCAACTGATCTGAGCACTCTGATCAACCTCCCGCCCCCTCCCACTATATAGATAAGGTCATTTGAGAGTAGGGATCATAGGATCAGGAAGGGGCTGCCGAAACAATTTAGTCCAGTCCCTTTGTTTTGCTTATGAGAAACTTGAGGATATGGAGATTAAGTGACTTACCCAAGGTCACACAGGAGAGAGGTAGAATAGCTAAGTGGTTTCAGGAAAGGGAAAATAGCCCTGGAATTGGAGTCAGAAGGCTCAGGTTCAACTCCCATTACTAATCCTGTGACATTAGGCAAGCCCCTTCAAGTCTCTGAGCCTCCTTTTCTTCAACTTCCAAAGGAATATAATATTTGTACTACCCGCCTCACAGAGTTGGGAGGACCAAATGAAATAAAGGTTGTATGTATTTATATTTATACTGTCTATATTTTGATATATAATCGTTTTCCCCAATAGAAACTAAGCAACTTGTGCATAAGGATTGCTTCATTCTTTGTATTTGTACTCCAATGCCCGGCACACTTTAATAAATACTGTTGATTGATTGAAAATGCCATATATAAATGTGAGCAGTTATTCTTATTATCCTTATACCTTCCTATATTGTTGATGTTATCTTTACCTCTCTGGCATACTTCTCTCTCACAACTTCTCTGCTTGTTCATTTTGGTTCCCCTGTTCTTTCTCAAGTCATTTTCTCTTAGCCTCTGACCTGACTTCATATTGCTCCCCAATCTCCCTCCTAATAGAATTGGAGCCCCTTAAGGGCAGGGACTATTTCATTTGTGTTTCCTAGGACCTAGTGCATAGTAGGCATTTACATAGTAGTAAATACAGTGCATAGTACTGTAAATTCCAGTACATAGTAGTATGTACCTGGTATATAGTAGGCATTTAATAAATCCATAGGCTTATACAACCAGAGTAGGGAGAGATCTGAAAGGTCATCTAATCTAGCTCCCTGATCAATAACAACTCACATTTCTATAGCATTTTACGTTTACAAACCCTTTCCTCACAACAACCCTGGGAGGTGGGTAGTAGTCAGTCAACAAGCATTTATTAAGCTTTTATTATTAACTGGGAGGTCAGTCAACAAACATTATTTATTAAGCTCTTCCTGTGCCAGTACCATACTAAGTACTAGGGATACAAAGAAAGGCAAAAAGCACATGATTGTACAAAGATTTTTATCCCCATTTTGCAGATGAGAGAACTGAGGTAATTCAAACAGTTAGTAGGCAGCAGAACCTGGATGCACCGCCACTGAGCCATGTGGACCCAAATATTGCCCAGAAGTTAGCCACCTGGCCAGAAAGTGCAGCTAATTAAGCCCTACTAATCTGTTGTTTCATGCGTGCTCACTAATTAAGTAAAATTAGTTTTTTAATTAAAAAAAAACCTCAGTGGAGTCATATACTCCAATGGAGTATATGGAGACTAGAGGGTCCTTTCCTCCTCTTTTCTTCTCTCCCAGCCTGACATATTTTCATGTCCACATCCAACCACTGGTGTTGCTGCCAGAATAAAAATGGTTCTAAAAACACAGGTTCTGAAAATGATCTGCCTGATTGACTCTTCAGAGGAAAATTCATAGGATTCTTGGCCTTGGGAGGTCCAGGCTGGGCCACAGCCAAAGTGCCCTCCCTCTTCTCCCCAGCCTGCTCTTTCTTTTAGTCAAATTAGCTTTTTGGTGTTTTGATTGAAACACTGAAGAGGTTACCTAGTAACTACTAGGCTAGGCATTTCAATTTTTATAAAGGAAGAGAACAAAACCACATGTGTGGGTTAGACACACCTTTTGCTTCATTGGGATCTTTCATACTCTCACAGAACTGCAGAGTTTAGAGCTGGGAGAGGAGACCTGAGCAATCATCTGGTCCAACCCCCACATTTTACAGATGAGGTAACTAAGAGGAACTGACTTGCCCAAGGTCACATGGCAAGGGCCAAAACTGGGACAATTATCCAGGTCTTCCTGCTTCTGGTCCAGAGTTCTTTTGACTGAGGAGGGGGAGGGATGGGGGGGAGCCCACAACATTTTTTTTTTTGGCCAGGCAATTGGAGCTAAGTGACTTGCCCTGGGTCACACAGCTAGTAAGTGTCAAGTGTCTGGTCTGAGTCCAGATTTGAACTCAGGTCCTCCTGACTCCAGGTCCGGTGCTACTCATGACATTTGTGCCCAGGGTAGGAGAATGATAGATAGATAGATAGATAGATAGATAGATAGATAGATAGATAGAT